TTTCTTTCTTTCTTTCTTTCTTTCTTTCTTTCTTTCTTTCTTTCTTTTTTGGTTGAGATTGCATCTTTCCAGAGGCAAGACTTTTAAATATTTGAACATATTTCATTTTTATTAGACAGTGATTGAAGGAACTTTCCAAGATGGAGAAATTCAGCGTATACCATACCTGAATGACTACCGACCAAGCAAGTGAGTTTGTTGTTGACTCCAAATGCCAATGTCTGTGTTTCCCTGAGAAAAGGAGGCATCCTAGCAGCCAAGGATACACAGTTCCAGGACTCCCACTAATGATTCCAAGAGTCACATAGAGTCCTGGGCTCCTAGCACCCCGTACCTTCTGCCTACTCAAACAGGACTCCCAAATGCAGGGCTCCAGCATTCAGAAATAGGACTCCTCCCACATACCCAAAGATACCTTCCAGCCTCCAATCCACAGTTCTACTGGTCTCCCTGTGGGCACTAGCTGGATAGGAGAATATAGGGCCCCTGATCCAAGATGGTGGCACACAGTGGTGTCTGGGTATTAGGAGAGGAGTGAAGTGTCTGCAGGGTGACGACACTACATTGCTACACATCCTTGGCGAGTCCCCGGAGAGAAGAGAGGACCCCAATAGCCAGGCTGGCATTGTACCACCCTCAGACCTCCAAGTACTCCCACCATCCTGGAGACGACTCCGGACTCCAGAGATATGGAGATCCAGCCTATGATGTATGGCTCCACTAGATGTCTTCAGGAGAGCGGCAGGACGGCACGGGATCACACAGTTAGAAACCCACACACTAATCCCCCTGGCTATAGGTCCAACTGGGTCACAACCAGAATAGAAAAGCTGCAGGCATATCACAGAGATCCACCCCTCACACAACCCAGGCAGGGCTGCTCCTGCAGGCCTGAAAATCCCACCTGGTTCCAGGAATAACCAGCCAATGCTAGCTACAAACACATGGCTAAAGGCCAGTGTGAAAACACAACCAACAAGCTCAGTATCCAAGTGGGTTTCCTAGTAAGGGGAACAGGGACTATTTCTGACATGAACGCAATGGCTGGCTCGTTGACCTCCCTACCCCCCCCCACCCCCTGAGGGAGGAGCAGCCTTGCTAGGCCACAGAGGAGGACATTGCAGCCAGTCCTGATGAGACCTGATAAGCTAGGGTCAAAGATGATAGGGGAGGAGGACCTCCCCTATCAGTGGACTTGGAAAGGTACAGAGAGGAGATGAGGGAGAGATGGTGGGATTGGGAGGGAATGAGGGAAGGGGCTATGGCTGAGATACAAAATAAATAACCTGTGATTAATATAAAAAAAAATAGGGGCTTGAGAGTTGGCTCAGAGGTTAAGAGCACTGTCTGCTATTCCACAGGTCCTGAGTTCAATTCCCAGCAACCACATGGTGGCTCACCACCATCTATAATAAGATCTGGTGACCTCTTCTGTCATGCAGATGTACATGCAAATAGAGCGCTCATTAGTAATATAAAGAAATAAATCTTTAAAAAAAATAAAAATTATTTAAAAAATTGTTTTAAATTAAAAACAACAACAACAAAAGCCTTGGCAGTGTGGCTCCACAGAACCTGCAACAAACACTGGGCATCTTAATGCAGCTGAGGCAAAGGAAATGGCTTTAAATGCTTACGAAGATGTCAGGGGACGTTAAAGAGGAAGCAAGAAAAATCCCTCAAAATGCGAGAAAATACAGTCAAACAAACAGAAGCCTTTAAAGAGGAAATGAATGATTCCCTCAAAGAAATACAGGAAAATAAAATCAGAGTCTTTCAAAGACATGCAGAAAAATGTAATCAAACAAGTGAAGGAAAGGAATAAAACGGTTCAAGACCTGAAAATGGAAGGAGATTCAATAAAGAAAACACAAACTGAGAAAATTCTGGATATGGAAAATGTAGCAAGGAGAACAGGAGCTATAGAAGTAAGTATCAACAACAGAGTACAAGAAATGAAAGAGAGAATCTCAGGTGTAGAAGATAGAATTGAAAAAACTGATACATTTTAAAAAGAAAATACTAAATTGAAAAAATTTCTTGACACAAAATAACCAAGGAATCGACAACACGATGAAAAGACAAAACCTGAGAATAATAGGTATAGAAGAAAAAGAAGACTCCAGGCTCCAAGGACCAGAAAATATTTTCAACACAATCTTAGAAGAGAATGAAATGCCTTTAAGCTTACAGAACACCAAATGTACTAGACCAAAAAAAAAAAAAAAAAAAAAAAAAAAGGAAAAAGAAAAATTCTTCCGGCCACATAATAAATTAAACCCTAAATGTATAAAAAAATATTAAAAGTTGCAAGGGTAAAAGGTCAAGTAATATAAAACAACAGACCAATCAGAACCACACATGACTTCTTAACAGAGACTATGAGAGACAGAAGGATGTCATACAGACCCAAAAAGGACACAGATGCCAGCCCAGACTACAATATCCAGGAAAACTTCCAATCACCATAGATGGAGAAAACAAGATATTCCTTGACAAAACCAAATTTAAATAAATGCAGGCCTCAAGCTGTACTACAGGGCAACAGTAATAAAAACTGCATGGTAATGGCATAGAAACAGAAAGGAGGATCAATGGAATCGCATAGAAGACCCAGAAATAAACCCACACACCTATGAATACTCAATATTTGACAAAGAAGCCAAATCCATTCAATGGAAAAAAGACAGCATCTTCAACAAATGGTGCTGGACCAACTGGATGTCTACATGCAGAAAAATGAAAATAGATCCATATTTATCACCCTGCACAAAACTAAAGTCCAAGTGGATCAAGGACCTCAACATAAAACCAGATACTCTAAATCAGTTGGAAAAAAAAGTGGGAAACAGCCTAGAACTCATTGGCACAGGAGACAACTTCCTGAACAGAACACCAACAGCACAGGCTCTAAGAGCAACAATCAATAAATGGGACCTCATGAAACTGAAAAGCTTCTGTAAAGCAAAAGACACTGTCATCAAAACAAATAGACAGCCTACAGATTGGGAAAGAATCTTCACCAACCCTTTATCTGACAGAGGGCTAATATCCAGTATATATAAAGAACTAAAGAAGCAGAAAAGCAACAAACCAAGTAATCCACTTAAAAAATGGGGAACAGAGCTAAACAGAGAATTCTCGAAAGAGGAACATCGAATGGCAGAGAAACACTTAAAGAAATGCTCAACCTCATTAGCCATTAGGGAAATGCAAATCAAAACGACCCTGAGATATCACCTTACACCCATCAGAATAGCCAAGATGAAAAACTCAAGTGATAGCACATGCTGGAGAGGTTGTGGAGAAAAGGGAACCCTCCTCCATTGCTGGTGGGAATGTAAACTGGTTCAACCACTTTGGAAGTCAATCTGGCACTTTCTCAGACAACTAGGAGTAGTGCTACCTCAAGACCCAGCTATACCACTCCTAGGTATATACCCAAAATTTGCTCAAGTACACAACAAGGACATTTGTTCAACCATGTTCGTAGCAGCTTTATTTGTAATAGCCAGAACTTGGAAACAACCCAGATGTCCATCAACGGAGGAATGGATACAGAAATTGTGGTATTTTTACACAATGGAATACTACTCAGCAATCAAAAAATCATGAAATTTGCAGGCAAGTGGTGGGATCTAGAAAAGATCATTCTGAGTGAAGTATCCCAGAAGGAGAAAGACAAACTTGGTATTTACTCGCTTATATAGACCTACAAGATATGATAAACATAATGAAATCTACACACCTAAAGAAGATAATCAAGAAAGTGAACA